TGCCACCACAAAGAAATGTACAATTCTTTTCACCATAGAACTCATGTGTTTAAGAAAAATGTCAACTCTATTTTAAAGTTGGAAATGTTAGTTAGACAGAGTTCAAGATTCTTGAGGGCTCACAGGTAAAAGTTTTAGTTTCCTTGATTTAAGAGCCTATTCCTTTACATAAATAGAAAAATAATGCAGAGAATCCATTTTTCCATAAAGAAGTCCCAAATCCACTTTCTCCATGACCTAGTCCCAGTTTTATTTAGCACTAATCCTTTCAGTGTACATCTACTTCCTGTAGAATGCATTCTGTGTAATATAAAATTAGCCAAGAAAGAACTTCCACCATAATACCTTTTATTCTGTTGGTTAAGGCCTTTTGAAGCTATTTCTTTTGGATTTGAAATTTCTCATGCTTTATCCCAGCCTGTCTGTGGAATCACAAAAATGAAGAAAATCCCACTCAGCTATTTTCCTGATCTGATGAGTGGATATCAAAAACACAGGCAGGGGTCTGGGGATTTAGCTCAGCGGCAAAAGCGCCTGCCTGGCAAGCGCAAGGTCGTGAGTTCGGTTCCTGGTACCGGAGAAAAACCAAAAAATAAAAAAATAAAAAAAAAAAAAACACAGGCAGTAACAGAAATCCAGAGAGTGAATTGCAGTTGGTGATGATGATGATAATGATTCAATCTCATATTTGAATAGGACTTTCACACATAGTATAGACCATAAAAGATACTAAAGGTTGAGAACTATACTGTATTAACCACATATTTGAGAGTTGGGATTCTTCATCATAAAAGTACTCTTTAAATGACTTTCAGAAACAGAAAAAAATAACTTAGCGATGGATTTCATCTTCCTAAGATCTCATAATGACATGTATAGTCATATAAGTGTGTCTGTCATGTGTATCTCTATATATTGTGTGGGACTGTATATGAACATATATGTATTTTCAAGGCCATGCATGTGTATGCACATGAGATATATATACGAGCATACATACATGTGTGATGTGGGTATGTCTATGTGGAGGGGTGTGTGTCATTGAGAACAACAAAGGATGGTGAAGATAAATTAATTGAGAAAACAATATTTGAAAGAGCAAGGGTTGTTAAAATATACACACTAGGTTCCATCTGGTAGCTGACTTCTGCACCATCTAGTTGTCCACTGATTCAACAACCAACGTAGGATTTTTGAGCCCTCCCTCACCCTAGGCCAGACACATTCTAGACCCTGAAGGAAAAGTAGTAAGCAAACTGATTAATGCTCTCCCTCTCTGAGCTTATTGCAGTAGAGGAGACAATTTTTAAAAATGTATTTATAATATATCATTTGGTCATAAGAACTGTGAAGAAAAATAAAGTAAAAGAAAAGAAAAGAGGATAGCAGGGAGTGGTTTCATCTTTTTGAAAAAGATGGCCAGCAAACCCTCTTTGATAAGCTCATACTTTCTCCAAAAGGAATGGAAGAAGAGAGCCCACCACACAAATCTGAAAGACAAATATTTCAGGCAAAGGGCATCAGAGGCAAAGGTCCTGAGGAGGAACACTTGTAGAAGAATTGGAACAGAGTGAATAAAGAAAACAAGGTTAAAGAAGGAATTGGAGGTTAAATAATAGAACTTTGAATTTTATAAGATCAGGAGCTACTAGGGGGGTTTTAAGAGTAACAAGATCCGATTTTTAAAAGGCATGGACTATGAAGTGTTAGAATTAATTTATAACATATAGTATAAAAGCCGAATGCCGGTGACTTAAACACGTGAACTCTTGTTTTCTAATGAAAAAAAGCAATTTGAGGACGGCAGCTCATTACTAACATGGCAGCTTCAAAGTCCTCAGGTTCCTGGGTTGCTCTAGCCTTTTTCTTCCCTATTCTCAACAAATAACCATGCTCTGAAATGTGGCTGCAGACTTAGCTGTCACATTTACGTACAAGGAAGTACGAAAAAAGGAAGAACAAATATGCTTCCTACTGAGTGAGCTGTACTTTAGGGAATTTCCCTGTTATTCTCTAAGACATTCCTCTTACATCTCATTGGCCAGCTTTTTAGCTGGAAGACTATGTCTAGCTATGAGGTAGGCTAGAAAATATAGCATTTAAATGAGTACATTGCTGCAACAAATGAAAACAGGGTTCTACTATAAGGAGGACAAAAATCTAGAAACACTGGAACCAATTTAGAGGCAAGTTTTAATAGTCCAGGATAAATTATGAGGGTTAAAACTAGAGTGATACCAACAGAAGTGCTGATATATGGAACCTATGTTAAAGCGCCAGCCAGCAGGGGTCATTGATAGCATGGTCACAGGATGTGAGAAAAAGAAAGAAGCATACAATGCCTCTGACGTCGTTGGCCTGGGCCCTTGGACACACACTGCCTTAATAACTAAAAGTGGGAATTCCTTAAGCTTTGATTTTGTGTGAACATTGATATCTACATGATCAGAACATCCTTCAGATACAAATGATCATCTCTGCATTTTCTCTATAATCCAGCTCTAGTCCCACATCCTGAGCATCTCGATTACACATTGTACCTCACTGCTGCACCACCTATTTTAGAGCTAAAAATCACACATCTTTGTTTACTTGCCGGTTATTTTTTCTTTAGTAATTTTACACATCACTGACATTAAGAATTTTTCCTCATTTTTCTTGTATTTCAGAGTTCCTTTGCCATTTAATAAGAATTCTCAGATTATCTGATCTGTGTCATTTCTCTGTTCTCAACCCATACCTCCGTGTGCCCTTCCAAACACTCCTGTGTGCTGCTTGTATAGAACCTCTGACCCACTGCTTGGCTTTGCATTCCTGCCAGCCCTCCTCCTCCCCAGGAGGAAGGGAAGGTCCTGCAGATAACTACTCCCTCTCCACAAGGTGAACGCTGATCTTTCCAAACACAGCTCACTTGTTCTAAATCATATGACATTAAAATATTGCCTGAAACAGGAATATTAAGGAAAACCACTATTGAAAGCCACATATTTGAATCATTCATATCTTAAAATTTCTAAGGGTGAGGAGCTACATGTATATATTACCCTTCCTTGCTCCTTCCCTTTAGTATCCCTCTGATAATCTCTCTGATGTCTCTTCTGTCTTTGGGATCTTGTTCTACCAAATCCATTCCCTGGTTGAATGTAGTTGAAGTAATATTACATACAGAGAACAGTTAGTCTAAGACTTTGAGCTGAAAAACTTCTACAGATGGTTGTAGCAATTTAATGTCAAAAGCTTTGTACACCTGAAAGGTACGCCACCTCCCAGCGGAACTTAACTCCTATGGGGAGAGCACAGGTTAGATGTGACAAGAGAATCTTTTTCCAAGATGAAGCTTTATGTACGTAATTTTCCTTTGTCGTTGCTAGTCCTTCTGTAGTTGATGGCTGATAATGATCAGCATTCCTCACAGCATCTAGCTACATACACACACACATACACACACACACACACACACACACACACACACATATGCACAATATCAGATTTACAAGTCCAAGCTGACAGACAATTTTCTCCTAAGGAATGCTAATTAATTGATTCACTGAAAGCTTCTCCTCATTGCTGGAGAAAAATAAAAGTTTCTAAATATAGAATGAAAAAATGTCAAATCAGAGAAATTTGATTCCATTTTTAAGAGACAGGTATCAAAATGGCATGAGTTTATTCTCTTCAAAATATCTTCTTTTGTAGCCATATCTTTAACAAGAACAAATGGTATGAGACGCTATCAAAAACTATGATACATGCTTAAATAAAAAAACCTCACAGTAAAAGACACACTGCCACTAATCCCTCTCAAAATACTCTCGCTTGCTTAGAACACACTGATCCCTTCCTTCTTCCACTTTCTGAAGCAGTTCTGGACGAACTCTTTCATGAGTCTCCTTAGTTGTGTTGTAGTGGTTGCCCCTATGCCCGGAATTGATTCAAAACATTTACTTTCATGGTACTTTGACTGTGCAGAAGAGCCAGAAGTGGGACTGTGCCAGATCTAGGAATAAGGTAGATGAGGACGCACTCTAATGTTTTTTAGGAGCCTCTCTTTCTGTTGGCTGGCCCGAGGAAGCAGCACTCACCGCACTTCTGATCCCACCTCATAAAGACACCCGCAAAAGGAGACTTTCAGAATTGCTTGAGAAACTGGCAAGAACAATGAGCTGAGTGTTTAAAGTGACAGTAAATAGTTTAAGGGGGATTCATGCCAATGTGTCTTTTGCCGTAATCAATTTTTAAAATTTAAACTGTCACCATATATTTCTATCACACCTTAGATTTATAGTAAAGGACCATGCTTTAGTCTAGTGTTTTAGAGACATGCATAACCAATCGCATCTCCCAAACATTCATTTGCCAAGGACCAAAGGCACCTTGATCTCTGTTCCTTAGTATTAGCCCCTGAAGTACGCAATGATGTTTAGTCTCATTTAATGGATTAGGAAACAAACGCACAGAGAGGTGAAGTAACTGACTTGGCCATTTGGCCATGTGGTGGAGGAGTTCAAATCTGAATTCCCCTGTCTCTTCCAGCTTCCTAGGCCCTAGAGCTATGTGGCCACTTTGCAATAAGGAAGCCTATTTATATGACTTTCCATGAGACCAAGAAGTCAAAACCGCAAGAGGGGAAAGGCAGGAAGACATGGCTTTCTTGGCAGGGAATTTCAAAGCCAGCAGCCTTAACCGATTTCAGGCATTTTGCTATATTGTGAGGCAGCCCTGGATATGCATGACTACAAAGGGCTTGACTAAAGAAGCATATTCTCTGAGAATACTGTGAACTTTCTTGTTTTCCGAAACTTAAAATAATCAAGCTCTGTGCTTGTGAGAACCAAACGGATGGGCTTTTACTTTGAACCCTTCAACCACTGCTTTTTCCTAGTAAAGTCTGGTCTGAGAATAAATTGTCAACCAAATGCTGGAATTGATCCAAAACGTTCCCCTCCCTTCTGCTCCCAGAGTCACAGAATAGCACGGAGCGGATCTTCCCATTCACAGACCTTTAACATGCAGCAAATTGAGGACGCTGGTATTCCTGTCAAGCAGCAGCCGCCGGCCCTTCTCCACTGTGACGTTGTCGCCATCTTGTGGGGGTCTGTCAGGAAACCAGCTGTGAGCCCTGGACCATCGCAGGCAGAACTGCAGGGAAAAGTTACCCTGGAATAGAGATTGTTCTTCTTCAAGGGTCGTATAGGTGACCAGTCAAAACAGAATCTTTTCAATTAAATTAAATGAATTTAAATATTTTCAATGTGTCAATAAAAATTAGTCACCCATCTTCCTCATGCAACTAAAGCAAAGAGGAGAAAATATGGCATAGGTAAAGTTGCCCGGGCCCTGGAATTAACTCTTCCTTAAAAATTTTCAGCACAGGACCCCATTCCACCCAACAGATGGAGCTGATTCCATATTTTAGTTTTACAGGCGTGTGTTGGGCCTTGGACAAAAAGTCATAAATAGCCTGGCATAGGGAGAACTAAAATGTTCTGCTTCATGGGTGGCACTTTGCTCTACATAATTGGTATCATTTTTCACTGGTCCTACTGCCGAGCGTCCCTGTTTTATAGGAACATTCTTCTTCCCATTGTTCAGACCTCACCCCACTCAGCCCTCAGTGATATTACTTTGGCCTTTCCTCTGCACGTAAAAAGGCCTTGGTGCCTTGGTGCTGAGCAAAGCTCCTATATGCACAGGTAGCAAGAGAATAACCTGCAAGCTTTACAGAGAGGCAGGGAGCAGAGCTGAGCAAATATCCAACAGGAAGGAGCAGCCCTGCTGCCCAGCCTTCCATCCTCCTGTCAGGGTTCTGGCTCCCCTGCTGACTCACGGTCACTCAAAAGTCATGTGTCTTTCAAAACAAGGACGTGAAAACCACAGACAGCAGAATGCAACTTGGGCAGGAGGCTAAGAACATGTCTACATGTCTTGTGAAATTATGGAGCTCCTTTCATGATAAGTTTAATAAAATCTGAATGGAGAAGGCAGTTGCCTCAAGGGAAAACATACAGCATGTGTCTGCCACTGTCCACAGCGTCTCCTTCCCACTCAGACTCCAACCAAATGTGAAGCGTGAGTTCCTGCAAAGTGAGCTGTGTAGGAGATCCTCTTGTGACATGCTGGAGGCAGAGGGGAGATCCTTGAGTGGGAAAGACACACTTGCAATGCCAGCAACTATACCTGCAGTAGAATTGTGCCCGCCAGGGTTTCTGAGGGAGAAGATAGAAAACTGTGCTGCCAGAAGAGTCCGTATATTTTGCAGAGGAGGGCAGTGATCCCTAGGTCAATCACTTTGAATTATGGCCCCAACTCAATCCCTAAGACTTTGGCATAAGACAAAGCATGATAATTCTGTTTTCTACATCTATGAAGGAGAAACAAAAGCCCCACTTATTCCGTTGATGAACAGAAGGGCCTAAGACGTAGTGATAACCAGCTCCAGAAGAACAGAAAAGGGATGAGTTGTACATCAGCATTATTGTAGATCTTCTGAAGCGCTCCCCCAATGATTATCCTGGACAAGAAAAGTTAGAGGGAAGGTTAACTCCTGCAGATTTTCACTATCCAGCTAGCTATAGGGAGGTAAGCTAAGTAAAAATAACTTCTATAACGATATATCTTACACACTGTTGTAACACTTTAATTCAGGGAAGTGGAGGAAAATAACATGGTAGGAAGATGGAAAAAGATCAAGACAGTAGCGTCAACTGCAAAGAATGAGCCGGGTTATCTCTCTTGTCAGCTCGAAGTCCTCAGTGCAAGGACATCTGAAAAAGCTGAGACGTCCAGGCCAGAGATAGAAAGGTTCTGGTAAAGTCCTATTTGCCTTTAGAGGTGCTTCAGGGAGTGTTTCTCAGCACAAAGCTTATGCAACACAGATCCCCTCAGTGTCATCATAAAGCTAGGAGGAGGTAGGACCCAGGGGCCTAGGATTCTAGTCATCTCCTCAGATGACAATTCCACTTCAAGGGGCCAACATAAGGCAAGATCTAGATGGGAGAAAAGGGAGATACACCCCAAAAAGTAAGCAATAGGTTTCCTCCAAGCCAACACATGGAGCTCAGAGATTTTAGGTCACTCAGTAGCTAGCAAGCTGAGCAGAGTAGATGTGGGTGGACGGTAAGAGGCAGGAAGGCTTCTGCAGTATAACCCCTTCTAAAACATCAACCTAGCAATAAGATTCATAGCCCAGTGACAGAATCACAAAGAAAACCAGGGCTCACAACACAGCAAAAAGGTACAGACCAACTAACACTAATCAGGCACTTGAAGTCAATGGATAACTATCTCATGGTGTCTCCCACTAAATTGAGGACATTTTTACAATGATACAATTAGCACTGACATCTGTTCCCTGTGTCTGAGTGAGCTTGAAAGACTTTCCGCCTGGCTCTGAATGAAGCACCTGTGTGTGCCGTGGGCTGCCCTTCATGTGATAGGACGTTTTGGCCTGGGTCTGTCAGCTTTCAAATAACGTTATACTCAGCCCCACCCCAGTGGATGAGAAGATCAAATATTGTTATCTCCATGTTAAAGTTGAGGAAGCCAAGCCTCAGAGTGTTTCTATGATGCAGACAGGAGTCATGCAAAGCAAATTTTCACCAGAGATCTTCCATTGGCGGGGTCCTCTGTTGGGATGCCCCGCCCCCTAAGATCAGTATGACTCTCCATTACTTCATCCGTGTCTCTGATGAAGTATCCTCTCCTTCCCTGTATTTTATTTCTCTAAAACAGCACCTCAAATCATTCCCTCTGCCCTGGTAATGCTTCATTCTGGTATTAGATAAGATAATCGATAATCCTTGCATATTTATCACGTGTGTATTGAGTTTACCCAGTAGAAGCAAGGACTTTGCTTGGATCATTGCTAGGTCCGCACACCCCTAAAACATGTCTCAATATAAATTGTTCAGGTAATTTATTAAATTAATATCCTATCTGTTAATCTCGTGCATGCCTTTATAAATATTAAATGCACACACACACACTTTCTGATACAATAGGTGAACAAATAGATTTTAAGGCTTAAAACACTTCAAAATGCTGCATTCCCTGGGCCTTCTGCTTCAGCAGGGTTGGTCTATACACTTTCACATTCCTTTTCTGTTTTCAAGCTCTCTTTAGACATAAACCAAATGATGGAAAAAGCCAAATTAGAACCTGTAACTCGATCCCAATGTCCCTGTGAAATGTTGCACTGATTTTCTTTTCCCCTTAAGTTTTTCTATTCAGTGTGGCAAATTCCAAATAAATACAAATGATAAGCATTCAGTTTCAAGAGATTTAAACTCCTTTGTGCTAAAAGGCTCCCTTTGTCTCATAAAAATATCTTGAGGATGTGTGTTTATTGATGATTCGTGCTTTTGTATAAAAAGTGACTAAAAACCAAAAGATCAAAAACCAACTTAGCTTCACCTACTTAACAGCTACCCAGAGAAGTAGAGAAACAATGTATGTGCATAACTGCAGAATGTTACTATCCGTGATCATCAGCTTGCTGCCGTAAGGATTTGAGTTCCCCTGCATTTCCACGGTGGAGGAGCTGGTGGTATAATTCCCTACACAAGACCCTCAGGCCACTGCCCCACGGACAAGTGGAGATGATTCGCCTTTCAATATCTTCATCCTCCAATGTATCTTACTTTGATCTAATCAAGCAAAAATGAAGGCTCAGGGCATTTACAAAAGAGCTCTTATCAATATATTTGAGAATCTTTCTGCTGATGCCAACTCAGTGTTTTTGGTCAAGGTGATGCTGTGTATCACGAGTCAAGCTAGTGGGTCAGTGTGCGCTTCACTTCCACCTAATATAGCTTCTTTCCCATATAATTCCCAAGGTGTTCAGCATTCAGGTCTCATGTGATATATACAAATCAGTCCTTCCTACTCTACAGATGAAACAAATCGTTTCCTTACAAGCTCAGGAGAGCAGATATGGAAATAGAGACATAAGAACTCTCCAGAATATGCCCTCGTCTTTCCCTCAAAACATACAGCCCCAAATAAGCCAGAAAAAAAGCAAAAACTTTCCTGCCTCAGCTCGGAAGCTTATGCAATTTGTTTTCTTCCTGCAGCATGTCAGCACTTCTCTGAACTTCAGGGAATGTGCAGTGTCTGCAAAACCTACTTGTCACCTTAAATGTATTTGCAACACCACCAGAGTTATCCTGAAAGAAGTCATTGATCAGCAAGTTGGAGCATCAGGCAAAGCGAAGACCTACTTGTGAGCGTGTGCACCGAGCTGGGCTCGCGGAGGGGAGGGGCCCTGGGACTCTCCAGTCGCAGTGTCTCCTGGCTAACGAAGACAAGGAACAACAGTTCTGACGCCTTCCTGCTCAGCATGCAAATCTTGGAAATAGAAAAAGACAAATCCCTGTGCCCAACATTTTCTGCAGCTTCTTTATTTCCTCAAAGCCCTTGTTGCCACCTAAAATTTTATTCATACTCAGCTAATCCCTGACAGACTGTGAAGAAGCTTCCCAAGAGCTTCCTGGCTTCCTGTTGAACTCCAGTACCTACCCCATGGGCTGGCCTACAACAGCCATCCCAAAATGAACGGTTGCTCCTCTTTATATTTATGATCACTATCTCACAATTGAAAATATTTTGATAACTACAATAATTTGATGTAAACCTATTTTTTATTTTTATCCAATGTTCCTTTGTATAAAACTGTTTCTAATTCTTATAAAACTAAGTTTATTGCCTTTTCCTCTGTGACATACTTCACTATTTTGTGCAGAGGCCATCTTTATTTTACTCTGGCATAAATACTCCTTTTATGTTCTTGGTTTTATATGTGTATGCTATTACTCAAATAACTTGTAATTTATAGTGCTGGGAAGTTTTCCATTTTTCTTTGTTTTTATTCTTAATTTTTACCCCTCAATAGTTAAATAATTTTCATAGCATTTATTAGATAACACTTGCTCTCCCAAGTAATCATCTTGACTATTTTAATAGTTGCATTATAATATTGAATAGTGTTGAATTTGTTGGTCAATTAAAATTACAAATACTTTGCATAGGAGCTAATACAAAGGCAACTCTCCCATAGAAATGTGACCTCATTCTTGCTTTAAAAGTGCTAATATTATCATTTAGAAAAAGACAAATAGGGGCTGGGGATTTAGCTCAGCGGCAAAGCACCTGCCTGGCAA